TTTTTTTTATTTAGAACATTAGTGTACGTGATGTGCAAGAGATAATGATTTCAGGTAATCTCCCGCTGAACTTTTTTGTGGCTATTATCTGCAAATTTATACTTATTGCTGTTGCAATATCGTTCATATTTTATTCTTTCTATGTGCATAAATACAGTCACACATTGATGGCTTTTTCTATCTCGAGAGTGGTGAGTTCTATTTCTATTTTCCTCTATTCTTCTAAGATTCTTCTAAGTTTTTCTTTGCTCCACCTCTTTTGCGTGGACCTCCCTAAAGGAATTATAGGTCTTGATAATCATGAATGACTCTTCACTGATCATTAATGCTTCCGGCGTTACAATCTTTTACCGTGATTTCGTGAAATTTCGATTGTTTGGATAAGTTGCGTATTATTTAAGAATCAGTAATAGGCCATTGAAATTTTCTATACAAGAAGTAAAATCAAGGAAGACAAAATAGAATTGTTAACATAAGTTGTAATGAAAACTTGCGAAGATCGAGAATTGAGATTGAGTAATTACGTGACAAATTCATTTATCGATTGAATGACTGGTAAACGGTGCCAAAAAAACATGATTTTGATGAGTCTTACCTCTTTGGGTTTTCACATACAAAAATACTCGAAGAATCATTCCTAGAACATTCAAAATGCATTAATACTAAGTGAATGTCCAATATTTTTTGGGGTGACCAACTTTGTTTACGTATGGAATCCAACCATTGTAACTGTGTGAATAAGGCTGTGCTCTTCACCTTTAAGCGTGAGGTCAAGCTCACTGTGCTGTTCATAAAATCATTACTTTCCAGATTTTCTGGGTGGTAAACCTCTGCACTCTCATCAAGTGGCGTGATCTCCCCCATCTTCCGCTACCGCTAGCCTTAGCTTATTCTTTGGCTGTTTGTTTCGATCTATTACCGTTCTTTGCATGGAGTCAGTATTTCACATCCAGGTAATTCATTGTCGTTACATTTTTCTTTATTTTCCTCTTTCGCATCATAATTGTTAAAAAGAATAGTAGTGCACCGGTCAACCACACAATTGAGGCTATGAGTTTTGGTCGAAACCTGAACCCTTTCGGAAGAAAGTTACACATTAATCTATTTGAATAATCTACTGAATAATTGAATTTATTGAATAATCTAATTGCCCTTGATTAACTTTGGTTTATTTCTTTTCAATTTCCTGCTGCTTCAGCAACTGAGCTGCATGAGGAGAATCACTCAATCAATCACTTTATGATTTTCAACTTTCTGGAAAATAAACAGCTATGACAATTATAGGACATTTAAAAATGGACAGTTCGTGTTTTATATGATGGACTTTGTTCCTACAGTGATTGTGTTCATCTCAACGATGTGCTTGTCAACTTTGCGAAGTGAATCGCACTCGGTACGATAATTTTCAGATTCGTTCTCGAACGTGCGGCTTTCGCCCTAACTTGACAATCATTGATTTTTGCCACTTTGAGTTTCACTCTGTATATTCTTTTCTAGACATGGTCCAACTTTTCACGGAAGATTACGTTGATTCTACCATACGTTTGGCCGAAAAAAAGCTTGACGTTGCAATTACGGGTAGCCTTCTGTTTGTTCCTACTATTATTTGGACGTCTGATTAATGTGGCTCTTCCTTTGTATAGCAAGTGGATTGGTTCGTATTCATTAGTACAATTATTTCTATTTGTTCGCTATAACTCGCATTTTTACTCTAATAGTTAGTCTAGAATTCGGTACCTCTTGAAATCCATACGCTCACGTAGTTGTCACAGTCTATCAAAGGTGAGACAAGTGTGCGCGACAGACTGCGACAGATTGCTTCCAATTCGCTGTATAGCGTCAAGCCAAACTTCATAAACAAAGTTCGGGCGCATTGTCCCCAACTAATAGAAATCTTTTCGTTCCTGAACCTTCTCTTTATTTCCATCTGGTTGGCTGTGAACTCGTCCTCCAGCTACTAAGAAATTCTTATTTCCTCTTGAGCGATGAAGCCATCGTTCGCGAAAGAGTTCAAGCGTTCAATGTCTTCGTAGTTTGAATGCAACAAGTTATTGTCTCAATGGCTATCATAAGGTCCACGGAGCTGGCAAACTTCTGTAGCTTTTGTGGCTGATTACACAAATGTGGGCAGTGATCTGTGCTTTACTTCTATGATATCAATGAAAACGGTTCGAATGCCAACTGTCCATTAGCTGTGGTCCATTTCTCAGTGGGCCTTCAGCGTGTGTTGAACCTGATGGAGATTGTTTTTAAGCAGAGTAGAGCCTCCTAAGAGCTGAGGGCAAGTGTTAGGAACGACTATGGATCACAACAGCAATTCATCAACAACAACCACAGTAGAGAAAACTGGGAAGGGCAAGGTGGCCATGCAAAAATTCCTTCAGTCGGGTCCTGTTCAGAGTTGTCATTCGTTTTTATATTTTTGCTATGCTAATACACACACTGTAGGGTTTGAATCAAATATGTCGAGTGTAGTTTAACAAATCGTAATTTAGTGGATGAACTCGCGCAGCCGGAAACGTTCCATTACTCTCTCATTTATATTTCTGCCCTACTGAAATTTTTGCAAGGAAATGGAGGTAGGACGGATATTGTTCTTTTTTTACTCAATTAGTTTACAAAAATTTTGAGAAACTTTTGAAATTTGTGCAATCTATCACCACCATTATGAATCCATTTTTTACAGCCATGGGAGGGTTCCTGAACACTATGCGATCTTATCTATGGATTCCTATACAGCAGTACACTACAAGGGAGTTGGAGGTTGGATTGAGTTCGGGATCCTTAATCGTTTCACACAATTATTTCTGCATTTTTATTGCTATTCTCACCCTTTTTCCTTTTTCAAAATGATTTTTTTCTGTGTTGTTTGATGACCTTTTTTTTATAATTTTCTCCATATATTAGGCTGAGTGACGTGTGGATGTAGCTTTTTGTTTGAGGATTTGCTTCACTGAATTTGACAACTGCCTGTTGGCGCTGTAGTTGTAGTTGGTAATAGCTAATTGCTAATTAACAGTAATAGCCAGTGAAAACTTTATTTGAAAAACTGAAGTGATCTGGGTGAAATTGTAGGTAGAATTGTTCGCGCATCTACATTCTTTGTCGCTGCGATGGCATCTTTCTCGAAAAACGGGACTCGTTCTTCGTGTCATGGACAGAGGCACCAGTTCTGTGAATAGTATTCTTAAGTAAGTTCCTTTGCTTTTTTCTTCGAACATTTTTACCCACTATATTTTTTTAAGCCTGAAACAATTTTGGATTGTATTTATTTTTTTCCTGACTTAATTTTTTAAATGCTCTGTTATGCATGACTTGAACGTCTGGTCTTCTTCTGCTCTTTAGTTATATATTATTCAACATTGTGCCAACAATCGCTGATATTGTTATCGCTGTGGTGTTTTTCTTTTCTACATTCAATTTCTATTTCGGCGGCATAGTACTTGTGACGATGATAGTTTACTTAGGTAAGGTTTGTATAATATCATTGTTTTCTTTTTGATCTTTTCCACCTTATGAACTGGTGTGCCTAGTAAGAAGAAAAGCCCAGTTGTATAATCCATTTTTTATCTATTTACAGCTGCAAACTGTTGCTGTCAACTAGTTGATATCAAACATGTGTGAATGGTGAAAGAAAGATTTGTCAGGTTTTGCATTAGAGCCGTTAGGGTTGGGGAATTCTTACACTTCAAATGAGCCCGTTGAAGAGAGCCTATAGGACTTTCAAAGTTCCGGCATCTTGTGCGTAGTTACTGAGTAGTGAAGGTTCGATTATCCGAAACAAGACTGCTACTCTCTTTTGATCTCTAATTATTTCTTGACTATCTCTTCCAGTGATGACGATTTATGTTACGGAATGGCGTACCAAGTTCCGACGGGACATGAATGAGAAAGAGAATGCTAGCAGTGCAATCGCCACAGATTCACTATTAAATTACGAGACGGTGAAGTACTACGGTAATGAGATGTACGAGGTTGATCGTTTTCGGCTCGCTATTGAAAGGTTTGTTCTTGCAATACATTTCTTCGAACGTCTTTATTGGTTATGTCACAGTTTTCAATTGGCTGAATGGCGTTCGAATGCGTCCCTGGCACTTCTGAACTTTCTCCAAAACGGCACAATCGGGATAGGAATGACGGCTGGTTCAGTGCTCGTGGCTTACCTTGTAGTTGTTGATCACGAACTCACAGTGAGTTTTGAGTGAATCTTTTTGATATTCAATAAATTTAACTGTATCTGTTCTTGGGAGATGTTGTTGCAGTCTTTTCGATGGAAATCTTGATTTTTGTCATCATAGCGGCTTTTTAGGTTGGAGATTATGTTCTGTTTACCACTTACATTCTTCAACTGTACTCTCCTTTGAACTTTTTTGGAACTGTTTACAGGTGAGCTTTACTTTCCAATCAGGTGTTTTGTAATATAAGAATATGCTTTCGAACGAATGTAATCAATCAATTTAGAACCATTCAAAAGTCTTTCATTGATATGGAAAATATGTTTGATCTTATGAACGAAGAGGCTGATGTACGTTTTTTTTTGTTGAAATAATTTTTACCAACACAGCTCTGTCTTAGAATTTTGTTCCAAGAAGTGATTTCAGGTACGTGACTCCCCAAATGCAGTAGAATATCAGCCAACCAACGGACAGATTGTGGTAAAAGACCTTACTTTTGCATACAATGAGAACCGAGTTGTACTGAATGACATCTCTTTCGAAGTTGGCAGCGGACAGTCAATTGCATTTGTAAGTGGGTTTAGTGTAATAGCTTTTATTTTTCAATTTATTTTTTTTCGAAGATTTTCTGAAGAAGTTTTTTTCCGAACATCTGTTATAATCTTCTATCGAAATTTCTAAGGCCAATATAGAAGACGATCCGAAGCAGGGCGGGAAACGAATAAAAATTGAGGAAAATTTCAGACCTCTCAAAGCTTCTATGGGAAAATGCTTCTACGAAATTATTACTAATGTTCATTTTTCGATTTCTTGGTTGCTGTTTGGGTTCTGTTTAACTCTGCCTTGATAATCTGTGGAGGCTTTCTGGAAGGAAAAAATCTATAAGTTAAGGTCGGTCCTTCGGGTGGTGGGAAAAGCACTTTGATCCGTCTATTATTCCGTCTATTCGATTGTCCCGAAGGATGTATCTTCTTCGACGGGAAAGATGTCCGACATCTGAAATTACGATCACTGCGTCAGCAAATTGGTATTGTACCGCAAGATACAGTACTTTTCAACGATACCATACGGTAAGACCTTTCCAGCAAAACTTCGTTGGTTTTTTTTCCACTGGGAAACGCCGCTATTGTATGATTTATTTCTTTCTTCGCTCCTTTAATTTTCATTTTCAAGGTACAATATCCGTTTTGGCCGTCCGTCGGCTACAGATGAGGAGGTTTATGAGGCCGCAAAAGCCGCTATGATCCATGATAAGATTATGAGCCTCCCTGAAGGTAATGTCTATCTCAACGTCGAATGCTTACAATTTTTCTTCTGTGGAATCTGAGTTCAAGATTTCTTCGATGGAATGAAATGGAGTTTATCTTTACAGGTTATGAAACGATGGTAGGCGAACGGGGATTGAAGCTCTCCGGTGGTGAAAAGCAGCGGGTCGCGATTGCACGGACTATACTTAAGAAACCGCAGTTTATATTCTTGGATGAGGTAAAGTGCTCAAAGATGCTTTTGAGAAATAAGAATTTACACCGGCTACTACCGCCGTTAGCGACTCATAGCATGATGTTGACGTTGGCGTTTTTCCGCCGAAGGCGGCGGTGGTTGTCGATCCTGATGACTCTTGCTCCAGGCTAGCCCCGCGTCCTAGGTCGAGATTAACGCTGATTTTTGTATCCCTAAGTTTATAGTTACTTCTGCCTTTTCTGCAGGAGACAGTCGTGTTATAGGCAACGTCGGCATTGGATACTAATACGGAACGGGCAATACAGCGATGTTTGGAGGAGCTCTGTGCTAGTCGAACAGGCGTTGTCGTCGCCCATCGGCTGAGTACTATAGTAAACGTCGACTGTATCATGGTACTACAGAATGGTCGGATCGTAGAGCGGGGACGGTGAGTTGTAGGAAATAATTATTTCGTTGTACTGCAATGTTGACGAACAATTAGACGCGAAATTGTGCTGTAGTACTTAAACCAGTGTTGGAGCGAACTCATTCCAAGAATGGAGAGTTCTAGTGCGTATACAAAGTCCCTTACGCTTGCAAAGCCTTATAATTAAGTTATCCTCAAATATTGCTAGGTACTTCTCAGATCATCTATATCACTTGTCGTCCCGTCGATCATCGATTTCCTCGAGCGAACACCAGTAATATTTCTATTCGTCCCTGTGTAGACCAATGGATCGTCCTCGCTCGAGCATTCCTTTTGTCAGGGGGCAGGGTATTCCTTTCGTCCAAAGCTTTCGTGAAAAAGTTGGTGTTCGCTTGACGTCCCGAGGGCTCCACTCAGTAACCGTCTGGTCCATCTATCATCGCATGACGTGTCCGGCTGTACCTCTACCTTCTGTTTCAATTTAATCTATCAGTACTTTCATATAGGTTAAGTTATATCAGAAGATAGAGGTTATTTGGTGGGTTCTCTCCCGCGAACTTAATGTTACTCAACATAACACTGTTCCTTTCTCATAGAGTATAAGTGATGAATATCTCTGAAAACCTTATTAATGTTGTGTAGTTGAGTTACAACAATGATAAAGGAATGATTGCCAAGTATATCAATTATATTGCTGGAGTTTGTCACCTGAAGGGAAGCGGGATTTGGGCCCCTCTTAGTAAGTGAACGTTCCCCTTCATGTTGAACAGCTTCTTGACAGTTGAGCATCGCTGATATGTTCCAGTATCAATAACGCTGTAATTATTTGCCTTCTAAGGAAAAGCTATTAAGTCAGTCATCTTAACTCAGCTGCCCCCTTGTGCACGTGCCCTGTACCATGGGCGCAGCTAGGTTGACTGACTCAATAGCTTTTCAGAAAGATGTGTTGCAGTTACAACCGTAACAGTAAAGGCCTCATTCCCACGAGCCCACTGCTCCCTATGGGGATAAGATCATGTTCGTCTATAGCTAGACAGTACAGTCGATGCTGAACCTGGTGCTATAACGTATCCTAAGGTCCATCTGGATGCTTATCAATGCACGTTCGGTTTCGTTTGGTTGGCACTCGTTTCAGAATCGTGTCCCGTCCTCTCTATGTATTTGGGTTGAAAAAATGTCTTTTATTTCCAGACATGCGGAGTTATTGGCGGCTAAAGGTGTCTACTATCAAATGTGGGAAAGTCAGAATGGAAATCAGAGTGACGAGTCGAACGCCTAATTGGTGGATGGAAATTGTTGTGCTATTTTCTTTGTATACTCTTATTTTGTTGTACTCTTCAAATTGTTCCGTTTTCGAATTTTTTTTGTTTTTCCAAGGAAATGATTGGGTGACTTTTTTACCGAGATCTTAGGATGCTCTCAAAGCTTGGCAAGGTCGCAGTGTGAGAAGTCAAATGACCTTTGAACTGCTTATATATGACGGCTTCCGAATCAAACCATGTTTGGTTTGCAGTTCTTATCGATTGTTGATCCTCTGAGTTTTTGGATTATGCTTCCGGTTTAACATTTTTTCAGTGTTTTTACGTATTTTGTAAACTAGGTTTTGAAAACAGTATTTATTTTAAAATAACTAACTATTTGTAAATGATAATTTAGTCATTGTGATAATTGTCTTTAACTCTTTCCAATTATATTTTGCTCACAGGTCTAATATCAATGCACGTATGTATATAGATCTCAAAATGAATATAACAAGTGCTAGTTAAGTAGGAAAAAGCAGGAAACAATATTATTAGTTGAGTAGGAAAAAGCAGGAAACAATCTTATTTTTCAATTTTGCTTTTCGTTTTACATTTTTTTGTTCTTCTGCTGTTCTACAGAAAATATTCTGATCAGTGGCCATTACTTACAGTTTTATAAACGTGTTATTTTCCAAAATCAAGTCAATAAATAAGCTGTGAACTGGAGTCCGTTCAGTTGTTTCATGTGCATCACGATCAAATGACGATCAATAAAGTTTTTTTATTATTGCGTTTTCAAAGTTCGATGCTTATTTTTTCACCTCACTGAACACAATATTACCGGAGCA